GATAATTGTTTAAGACTCTTTTTTTTAAAGTAGGACTCCAGGCAAACATCTAATAAATGGTTAAAATGCACTCATTTTTACTGTTTATCAACACATATATAATGTTGTCCGACTATTACTGTAGTCCACATACCGCTGTTAGTCAGTCCAATCAATCTACTACTCCCTCGTTTACCATTAATGCTTCCTGGGTTAGTTTCCTAGAAGGCAGTGATGGTGCTGATTTATTGCCCAATGAGGAAGCTGGAGGCAGACAACTGAAGATGATTTGCTTAAAGCTGAACTACAGGAACACATGTAAATACACAAATTAAATACATATATAGTAGCTGTTTTACTTGCCAAAGGATTTGTATTTCTGTCCATCAGGTCCAGAGATATACACAGCCCTGTTTGGCAGGGATGGAGACCTGGTTTTTCTATGATGCGCTGCTATTACTTTAACAGGTCTCAACCATCAGTCTGAAGCAGTGGTTGAGAGATTTACAAATCCAAATCACATGAAGACAATGGGGGAACAATTTAGTGAACTGGAACAGGACAGAGAGATGGAAGAATGATGTCCTGTTTGAAGTGAAAGGCAGAAAGTACCTTACGCATGAAGCAAGTTGTGGACCCCAACACCCCTTTGTCCCTATGCAAAACCAGAAAGGGTTATGCAGGATAAAACTGCCATTTCATATACTTGCCTCGCAGAGGTGAAACCTACACGAAATACCACATTGTGGGTGAGAGTAGAGGGAGGAATGTCTCTAGTGGGTTTAAACAGTGGTTTCTGAAGTGCAATGAGAACCATATTCAGATCCCGGGGAACGAACAGGGAAAGCCACATGGGGACTCTCCGAACAAAGGTCTTAATCACGAAGTTTCTGAAACAAAATAGAAAGGGCAGAAACCTAGCTCTTGATAGTGCGAATATCCAAATGTTGGTCCAGGCATAGCTGCAGGAAGGAGAGGATTTGTCCCCATGGAGATACTCCTAGGGTGGATGCCCTAAGACTTACATCAAGTGAAGTATGCCTTCCACATCCAGTCATAGACCTTATGAGGATTATACTTCTTAGCTTTTAGTATAATAGGAATCACAGTTTTATAGATGCCCCTGTCTCTCAAAACCTAGGCTTCAATAGCCATGATGTTAAAGCCAGCAACCGTAAAGTATGATGGTAAATAGGTCTTTGAGACATAAGATCCTGATGATCGGAGAGAGCCCTTGGTGCGTCCACTAGCAGTCTTACTAGGTTGGCATACTACATCAGCCTGGGCCAGTCTGGAACAATGAGTATCACTGAAATGCCCTCAGTCTCAATCCCCAAGCAGATGAGGAAGAAGTTTCAGGGAAGGAAAGACATTGCAGGAAGTAGCCTTTCTAACTTTAAGCATAATACGAGTCACTGTTTCAGAGATGCCCCTGTCTCTCAAAACCTGGGCTTCAACAATCTTGATGTTAAAGCTGGCACAAAGCATGAAAAAAAAGATCCTGATGATCTTCAAAAGCCCATGAAGCATCTGCCAGAAGTCCTACCAGGTTGGCTTACCACATCTTCCTGGGCCAGTCCAGAGCAATGAGGATCACTAAAATGCCCTCTATCTCGATCCTGTGAAGAAGATGAGGAAAAAGTATAAAGGGAGAAAGCCATACATAAGGGTGTACTGACCCCACTGAGCCAACAGAGCATCCACTGCTTCTGCTAAAGGATCCCTGTACTTGCAGACAAACCTGCCCAGTTTATTGTTGAACCTGGAGGCTAGGTGGCTCACATCCAGCATCCCCCACCCACAACACAGGTCCTGAATCTCCAGGTGTAGGGACCACTGCTCTAGATCCAGGTGCTTTGAGCTGAGGAAGTCTGCCTGCCAGTTTATGGATGGGGATGTACTGGGTGGACAAGGCTGGAACATGAAATTCTGTCCAGGTCAGGATCCAATCTACCTTTCTTGCAGTGTCATCATGGTTGATGTACACCTCCACTGTGGAGTTGCCTAAATCCGGATCAGATAGCCCTCTGGAGGGAGCCTGGACACTTCCAGAATCACAGGGGAAATGGACCGCCTTTGTGCAAAATCCTCCAGGCTCCATAGAGAAAGAGTTGGAAAAAGTGGGTGAAATGGTAAAGTCTTTGAGGCTTTAGGAGTTTCCGAGGACCCAAGACCGGAAACAGGATAATCCTCTAATTTGAGTGATGTACACCCATCGAAAAGAACCAAAACACTCTCCTTTTAAATTTGAGTAATAGCAGTGGACTGAGAGTCCCCCAGGGACAAGCTCATCAGTCAAGACTGGAGCGACACATAAGGGTTTCAGCGGCAGATAGTTTAGAAGCCACCAAGTATAACCTGAAGGTTAAAGACTTCCTGTGTCCCTCAAAGGAAGACAAATTCAATAAATGTAAAGATGTATCAATGAATACAGAGCTGCATTAAGCAGTGTCTTTTATATCTACCCGGAGTTCATCATTAATGAGAAAATAGGTGTGTCACCTGCAGTGGATAATGTGTGTAAATCTCAAGACTGGCTCTACAGAATTACAAATCCTTTGGAGGGAAAAACACTAAATAAATGCATTTCAACTGTGTAATTATTTTTGGGTAATCTGCTACAAACAAAAGCACCTTTGTGAGTACCCTAATAGGGAAGACACCTTTCTCTGAATCCTAGTCTGCAGACAAGTTCACAGGAAATTATGTTTTCACCATGAAGCTGAATACGTTCCGCTTTACTGTTCTAGTCCAAGTTTGTGATCCAGAAGTCATCACCCATCTTAGGCTTTTTACACTACTATTTAGTTTTGTGACAGATTGACATTTTGTATACCAGGATATGTGCATCCTATTGCATGGCAACCAATGAAACCGCAGGAATTCAGTTCAGTCAGAAAGGAGAAAGATAATCTGATTGGTTGCTGTGGGTTATTGCACTGTTCACATTGCTTTTGCCTCCTTCAGAATAGGGGTTCATGTTTGCCTAATATTCCATTCCATACATTTGAAGCAATCAAAACAATCCTGATAACTGTTATTTAGTTGTCATGGGTTACTGAGCTTTGCACACCGCACCTTCACTAAATCAATGGCGCTGTGTGTCAGTGTCTATATGTTTGCTGTGTTACCTGTCTCTCTGTGATAACAGCCAGTACTTCTGTCTGACCATGAAGCAGTGTATTAAAGTCATTCTTCCTTGCAGCAGTGCATCTTAATTATATTACTGGTACAAGGCCAGCTGTTGGCCCAAGTAACTTGTAATACAATACTTGATGCCCAGGCAGCATTGATTTGATCATGGATTCCTGTACATTCAAGATCAGTGGACTTCTAGCAGGCCTCTGCATGACGCACACATGTAAATTCTGTCAGAGAAGGATAGAAGCAGCTGGGAGCAGCGGCAGCTCCTTCCCTCCCTCCCTTCTTCCCATGTTGTCTCCTCTCTCCCTCCTTTCCCCGTCACGTGGATGGTACACACTTACTTTTCCTTGCTGCTCTCCCATCTTGTTGAGCAGCACCCCCTGCTGGATTTATAGCAGGCCAGCTGATGGACCACTGAGGTTTTCTTTTTCATACTGTGAAGAGGGACTTTTGATCATCCTTGAAGCCTAGCTCCAGCTCTCTCATATTTCTTTGCTGTAAACCAGGGTTTTATTAACTTCTGATATTGCAGATTTTAAGTATTAATTTTGCCCATATGGATGATAATTTATAAAAATATTGTATTTGTTGCTGGTAGATTTCATCCAATTCTCAGGGAAAACTCAGTTACACATAGTGATCTATGTGTTGAGTCCCTCTATGGCAAAAAATTATTGTGAACATATGCAACTTGACACAGTAGACCAACCTTTTTATTACAAAGGAACCCTTAGAAATAACGTTCAGGTCCCAAGGAACCCCTGCTAAAAATTACTTTATTTACAGCTCACAGTGCATTAGCATGAACTTTAAGGATAAGGAATGTGGCAAACTTTGGTTATTTGACACCGAATTTTAATAACAATGAAATTAATAAAAGAATTATAATTTATTATGTTTTCACTTTATTGCTATCACACAGGGGATAACAAGCTCCTATGTGATAGCGTTTGGAGGTGACAGGTTCTCTTATAGAGCCTATTAGACCCCTGATGCCTCCCTTGGCCTCCAATACAGGGAATTGAGAACAGCATTGTGCCTGATCTCCTGTGTAACAGGCACTTCAGCTGCCTTTGTGACAGCTGCGAGCACAGACTCACTGACTCACTGATCACAGACTCACCTGACTCACTGATCACCGTGCAGATCAGGTAATGAAAGTTCCCCGGTTTGCTCCCACTCTCCATCCTGACACTAATTATCATGGTTCCAGGTCCCCCCTCCTCTAGGGGCGCCACCGCCACCTATGCAGGCTGGTACAAGTACAGCCACCAGATCACTTGTACAAAACGAGAATCGCCTGCTAAAAAAAACAATACCAAGATCATGTCTGCAAGCAACCGGCCAGTCCTGAAGTACTTCGTAAATACAGTAACAGAAAGAAATGTTGCAATTACAATCTACTACCTATATCATTTCTGATTGCTTGAGAGCTACCTTCACAGACTCAGGCCAGCAGAAAGATTGCCGTGTTAACATTCAACTTGTTTGCACTCTGTACCATAAGTGCTTGGGTGTGAGCTAAAGGAAGGCATCTGCTCCACATTCCTGCTTGATTCAGTGCCTTTAATGAGCATTAAAAAGCATCTTATAAAATTACAAATTACACTCATATTGATAAAAGAAACAAATGTGCATGCATTTTATTTTTGGAGCCAGAAAGCATTGCAAGAGTTATCAGTGGATACCCAGTGAACACCCATTGAGTCAGTAATGTAGAATGTGTACAGCAAGTGAAGTCAGAGAGAATTCAGAACTCCTGATTTGTAGTGGGCCAATTCTCAGGAAATATTTTCACTATTTAACTCCTTTGCATTTTATACTTATGATTTTACCACACTGAATGTCTTTTTTTCCCCCTTGTATGCTAACCTTAGCCTGAAGATATAGGACAGAATCCAATGGCATCCATGGCAGACAATGATAAAGTTGACCTGGAAGCATTCAGTGAGTTCACCAAAATAATCACGCCTGCGATCACACGAGTGGTGGACTTTGCTAAGAAGCTGCCCATGTTCTCAGAGGTAAGTGCTAGATATTAAACCAGTATAGGCACAGGGAGATGGACAAAGGTCCGCACAAAATGTGTGCAGATTCCTGTTACTGTGCAATGGCTATTCTCCCTGGACTTGGGGACTAACGTGACCTTGGATCACCAAAACACAAGGGAATTTATCAAAACTGGAGCAGATGTGCAATGTGCATGGCAACCAGTCAGCATCAAATCTTAACTGATCAAACTGAAGAGAGAAGCTGATCGGTTGTCATGCACAGCTGCTCCAGATTTTGTCTGCTCCAGTTGATAAATTCCCCTCATCGCTGTCTGGTAAGCAAATTCATGATCCCCTGTCCCACCTAACCTTGTTAAAATGCAGTAATAGTTGCTTTCTGCTGATATGTCTCCTAGTGTCTAAGCCATTCAATGTCGTCCATGTGTAGTTCTGTATAACGTGGATCAGGCCTCACTTGCCAGCCTGTATACAATTTGTAAAATTAGACACATAAGCAAACTTGGTGGTACCTGATTTTTAATGGTACATGTTTCATTGTATAGTTTTACTAAGAGGTCAATTAAAGTTGCACACTTTTTCTTCTATCTACAGACCTGTACAACTCTCTGTTACAATTGTTTAACTGATTTTTATGTGGAAATGCCCTTATCTTTTCATGTTAATGGGCCCCTTGCCCTTCTCCAATGCTGGCATAAACAAGTATCAGCCACAACCATAAACTCAAATGTCCTCAGACAGACTTGAAATGCTTGAAGAAGAGAGGGGATATTTCTGTTAGAATACAAAGTGCACTGGTAGCTGAGTAAAGCTATGGTGCCTATTAGGCCTGGTTCACACCTGGGCGTTTTGTAGCGCGTTCGAACGCTCTGCAAAACGCTCAAACACCGAAATCCCATTATTTCCTATGGGTATGGTTCACACCTGGGCGTATTACAGGCCGTATGAACGCGCTACAAAACGCCGAACGCAAAGAAGAGCAGGAGCTTCTTTGGGGCGTTTTTGTCGCGCGTTTCCATTGGGATACAGCCAAGTAGCCAAAGTAGCGACTTGCGACAAACGCACATATTCGATACGCCTATGTGTGAACCCAGCCTTAGACACACATGAAAATGTAGGTTGTAAGTCTGTGTGACTGAACATCTATTTCTGTTACTTCACTTGGTCTTTAAAGTTAATTTCAGAAAGGGTTTGGAAGAATTTTATGAATGATTATATTGAAGCAGGCCTGTGTCTCTTTGCATTTTTGTCTCATGAGGTCCACCTATATTAGTTACTTTTATGTTATTTCCATATGTTTATGTTCCCTGTACCTTTGATTGCAGCTACCCTGTGAAGACCAGATCATCCTGTTGAAAGGATGCTGTATGGAGATCATGTCTCTCCGAGCTGCTGTGCGTTATGATCCAGACAGTGAGACTCTGACACTGAGCGGTGAGATGGCAGTGAAGCGAGAACAACTAAAGAATGGTGGACTTGGGGTGGTCTCAGATGCTATATTTGACTTAGGAAGATCTTTGTCTGCATTTAATTTGGATGACACGGAAGTGGCTCTGCTGCAGGCTGTCCTGCTCATGTCCTCAGGTGCGTGCAGTATCTTAGCGCAAGTGTTTGTTCAATCACTGTCTATACATATGCTTGGACTAGCAACATAGCAGTTCTGGTGTTTGCCAAACAACTTTGTTTTTCTGAGACTTTGGATTGCTAAAAATGTATTAAGGAAGAACTGTAGCTTTATATACACACAGACACACACACACACACACAATTGTAATAAAAGATTTGTGAATTTTCTAAACATATGCACAATGGCTCCTGAAAAGGAAGTACTTTGGCTCTCATTACGCAGAGCCTGGCATAGTTAGTCTTCAAGAAAAGTAGAAATGGCATAGATCCACAAAGTGTCCCTAACTTCTAAAGTATTGCCCCAACAACACTCTGCCGTGGCATGTGTAGAAATGTGGGAACTCCATTGTGGTAAATTCACCACCAAAATCCCTAAGAAATGTAAGAATGGTAGGTGATGGTACACTTTGTGTGGCTGCTAGCTGTTAAACCCAGCTATTCGTGAAAGCTTTGGTCCTCCTTAACGAACAGAAACCAATCAGTGTGATTTTGCACGATAAGATCACTATGTCAACCTTGACATAGGTCCCAATTTGTAGAGGGTTCACACTGTTCACTCGGCATCACTATCACTAGATGGAGCCGAGGAGCACGTACTCCTCACCTCCATCTAGCAGTACTAATGTCGAGCAAATGGTGTTCACCCAAAAAGCCAGGTTTGTAGAGGCCACTGTAGTCTGTAGAATTAAAGTATTGAAAAAATGTAACAAAAATATATTTTTATAGAGCCATCTTTGTCTGTTTGTCAGCCTATAATAACAAATAGAGCAGAGTTCTCATTAAATTTAGTCAGTGTTAAACTCAAGTTAACCAGCACATACTGATGCTGCTAAATTTGGCCTGAATATTTAGGCTGCAGTGATCCCTGGGCAGGAGTGGGTTAAACACAGGATATACAGTGAATGCTGAAATTAGTAAATAGTACCTTTGAACACCTTGACATGTAATTATACTGTGTAAATGTGCATTATGCATCTTCAAAAACTATTTCTGTACCATGCCCCTCTTATTGTATAAGTCCAACTGACATCACAGCGCAGAGCAGGAGAGATTTTCACTGAATTATGCGAGGTGAGCTCATTTCTTTCCCGCTTCAGAACCACTCAGCTATGTTGTGTTGAGGTAGACCAGTGACCACAAAGGCCTGCGATAAAGTTAAGATTTGTACACATGTACCTGATAGAGGCCTGGTAACGTGCTATGCAGGATTTTCGTTTTTCAAAGTTTTTATTGGTTTCCATAAGATATAACATATTTTAATTCAAGCTTTTAACAAATGTGTCCAAAACATTAATTCCCCGCATCCCCCAACCCTTACATAGGCTATCCAAAAGCTATCACCAAAAGAAAAGAAAGGGGGAGAACCAGTTGCGTTATTAACCTTCAGCTTTGCCCCTGCCCCCGTTCTCCTCTATAGGCTTGCCCTTCCATTCGGTCACTTCTAGCTTTGGGGATGCGGGGTCTCTCAAAAAAGGGTAGAGGAGCTTTCGCTAAATGGAAACTTATGGAAAACTTTTTAATATACAAAACAAAAACAACAAACACGAAGGGGGAAAGGCCAAAAAAAAAAGAAAATAATCTTATTATGTAAAGGAAAGACAATACCTAAGAGATTATAATTTCCTAGTTTCCTAGGAGCGGGATAGATAAATTTAAGTTAAGGAATCAGAGATAATGGTATGAGCATTTAAGATCCCTTGGTATTTCAACCAAGGCGCCCATACTGCTTCAAATTTTGCATAGTTATCCTGCAAGATGCTAGATAGTTTCTCATGGATCATGATCAAATTCACTTTAGACAGCAACAGAGAGAATGGGACCTTTTCCGCTTTCCAGGACCGAGCTATTGAAATCTTAGCCGCCAGGAAAAAAAAGGAAATCTGTTTTGCTTTACGAGAGATGTCCGGGATTGATTTATTAAGTAAAGTATACTGTGATTCTCTGGGGATAAAGATCCCGAGGATCCTAGAAAGCAGAGCAAACAACTTGTTCCAGAAAGGTCGTAGTCCTGGGCACTGCCACCAGACATGGAGCATGGTGCCTTGCTGTTTACAGCCCCTAAAGCATAACGAGCTGACACCTGGGCCCATCTTCGCTAATTTTGTTGGCACAAGATACCATCGAGAAAATACCTTGTATTTGGCTTCTAGAAGAGAAACATTTAACAGTCCCTTAGTCGATCTTTTAGAGCACTGTTGCCATTCTTCTAATGAGAGTGGTGTCCCTATTTCCAATTCCCAGGCTACCATATAAGCCGTTTTAGTGAATGATCCTAGTTGGGCTTCATAGATCAGGGACGTTCCTCCCCTTTGACCTAACCCACCTAGGCACCACCGTTCATATTGTGTTGGCAACAGGGCTCCAGTCTCGGGTATGGGTAGGGTAGATAGGAAGTGATTGATTTGTCTAAATCTGAAATATTCACAGTGAGGCATCTTGAGGGTGTTTAAACAGTAGTGGTATGTGATTGGTTTGTGAAATTTGATAAAATCCCCAATCCTATACAGTCCTTCGTCTATCCACCATTTAACTGTTACTTGCTATGCAGGATTTTCACAAAAAGCGTTTTAGGTTTTGTGAAATTTCATTGAATATGTGGCTATTATAAATATACCTTTTTGAATGTTTTTTTTTTTTTAATGTAATCAGATTTGTCAGTTTTGTGGGGAGAAAGGGAGAGTTTGATTCCCTGCTGTCTGTAATGAATGGGATGAGCATTATATATTTAACAAAGCAAACTATATATAGATTCAAAACAGCGACACTGTATCATTTTGTCCTAAAGTGAATCCTTGATATAAATATTCAGTGCATTCAGAAAATATTCAGACTCCCTTTACTTTTTTCAATTTTGTTATGTTGCAGCCTGATACTACAGTTGTTTCCTCATTAATCTACACTCATGTCAGGCCGGGTAACTGGGCCAGGAGTGGAACCCCTTGGCAGGGACGAAAACAAGTCCAAGATCGCAGTATCAAAAGGTTAATCCAATAGAGTAATCGAGTCCAGGTCCGGGTCGTGGCAGGCAGCAAGATTCGTAGGCGAAGGGTCAGGCGAAAGGGTCGGTAGCCGGGAAGTATGATCAACAGATAGGTTCACAAGAGGGAGCTGGGTGTTCACCATGAGGTAGAATAACTCAGCAATGAGTCAAGGCTCTGACCAGCTTTATATACACAGGGAACCCAGGACCGCCCCCTGGCTGCCAGGGCAACCAGGAAGCTTCCTCAGTCAGGAGCCAATCACAAGGCCGAGGGCAGTTGGTGAGTGCTGGAATCCTCCCCCAGCCTGAGTAGCACCTGGAACGTGGGGTGGCGCACTACGCGCACGCTCCCGGGCACGCGCGCGCTGCGTGCGTACCGCACACTCGTCTCGCGCATGCGCACCGGCAATCCCAGCGCTAGATGCCCTGCCAGGAGGAGGAGGAGCCCGTGCCCGATGCCCGCGCCGGCGAGCCTGGTGAGGAACGGACCCCCTGGGTCCCTGACAACTCAATACCCCATAATGACAAATTGAAAACAGAATCTTACAAATGTCTGTAAATTTATGAAAAAGGAATAACTGTAATATCACATTGGCATAAGTATTCAGAGCCTTTTACTTGAAATTTAGCTCAGGTGCCTCCCATTTCTCTTGATCGTTGCTGAGATGTTTCTACAACTTGGATTGGAGTCCATGGGAGGTAAATTACATTGATTGGACATGATTTGGAAAGGCGCGCACCTCTCTATAGAAGGCCTCACAGCTGACAATGCATACTGTATCAGAGCATACTTACAATGCATACTGTATCAGAGCATACTTACAATGCATACTGTATATGAGCAGAGCTCAGAGACATGATTATTGCAAGGCACAGATCTGGGGAAGGCTACAAAAAATGTCTGCTGCACTGAAGGTTCTCAAGAGCACAGTGGCCTCCATAATTCTTAAATCAAAAAAGTTTGGTACAACCAGAGCTGGTCGCCCCGGCCAAACTGAGCAATCGGGGGAGAAGGGCCTTAGTAAGAGAAGTGACCAAGAACCCGGTGGTCACTCTGACTGAGCTCCAGAGATCCTGTGTGGGGATGGGACAAAGTTCCAGAAGGACAACCATCACTGCAGCACTCCACCAATCTGACCTTTATGGCAGAGTGGAACCCTCTGCCGCAAAACACATGAAAGTCCGCTTTGAGTTTGAAAAAAGCACCTAAAAGTACTCTCAGACTGTGAAGAACAAGATTCTCTGGTCTGATGAAACCAAGATTGAACTGTTTGGCCTCAATTCTAACGTTATGATTGGAGGAAACCAGACACCGCTCATCACCTGCCTAATACCATCCCAACAGTGAAGCATGGTGGTGGCAGCATCATGCTCTGGGGGTGTTTTTCAGCAGCAGGAACTGGGAGACTGGTCAGGTTTGAGGAAAAGCTGAATGGAGCAATGTACAGAGATATGAAAACCTGTTCCACAGCGCTTAGGACCTCAGAGTGGGCCGAAGGTTCACCTTTCAACATGACAACAGTCCGAAGCACACAGACAAGGCAACACAGGAGTGGCTTAGGGACAACTCTGTGAATGTCCTAGAGTGGCCCAGCCAGAGCCCCTGACTTGAACCCTATTGAACATCTCTGGAGAGACCCGAGAATGGCTGTCCACCAACGGTCCCCATCCAGCCTGACTGAGCTTGAGAGGATTTGCAAAGAAGAATGGCAGAAAATCCCCCAATCCAGGTGTGCAAAGCTTGTCGCGTCATATCCAAAAAGACTCGAGGCTGTAATTGCTGCCAAAGGTGCTTCAACAAAGCACAGAGTAAAGTGTCTGAATACTTTGGTAAATGTGATATTTAAGTTTTTTCTTTTTAATAAATTCACAAACATTTCTAATATTCTCTGATTTCACTTTGTCATTATGGGGTACTGAGTGTAGATTAATGAGAGAAAAAAAAAAGAATTTAAACCACTGTAGTATCAGGCTGCAACATAACGAAATTGAAAAAAGTGAAGGGGGTTGGAGTACTTTCTGAATACAACGTATAGGAAAAAAATCACTTAAAGGGAACTAGTCATCCTTGTTTTACTACTTCCTGAGTCACTGACCCATAACAAACATGTACACAGTGACGTAAGGGACACCTGATATACACGTTGTGGTAAAAGGATAAAAATGGCAGTCCTAATACTTGCACCTTTTATGAAACAAGTTAACTGCAATTTCCATATCTCTGTCATGTTGGGTTGTTTTTCAGCTGGTAACTGAAAATCTGAAGTGACCCGGTCACATCCAGACCAAAATAGAATTGGCACGGTCCCTTGGACAGAAGAAAATATGCAATGGGAATCACCCTGCCATCATTTAAGATCTTAGTTTAGAACTTTGTATTTTATGTAAAGACGGTGCCAAATTGCCTTTAGCAGGATTTATTCTAATGGTAATTTTTTTTTTTCCTTAGACCGGACAGGTTTGATCTGCACGGATAAGATCGAGAAATGTCAGGAGACTTACCTCCTCGCCTTCGAACACTACATCAATCACCGCAAACACAACATTCCCCACTTCTGGCCCAAGCTCCTCATGAAAGTGACTGACTTGCGTATGATTGGAGCATGCCACGCCAGTCGCTTCCTGCACATGAAGGTTGAGTGCCCCACAGAGCTCTTCCCACCGCTCTTCCTTGAGGTGTTCGAGGACCAGGAAGTCTAAGGGGCAGTGGAGGGGGGTAGAGAGGAAAGGGAATTGCTTGGCTCTATTCCAGCATGCCATCCCTTACAAGGCTCTCATGTCCTGGGAAGGATTGAAGGGAGTGGCTGGATTGGTCCTTCTGAAATTGATGATGCCATTAAAAGCCGGCACAAGCCAGAATGGAAGCTCCCAATCTTGGCGTAATTGTACATCAGATCAACAGTTCTTCAGCCATACTCTTGGCTCAACACGAAGGAAAGAGTATTAGAGTCGCCTTTGCTTTCATTGTGATGCACCCAACAGTTTTACTATGGAAGCAATCACCTTTTTTGCATAATTTCCTTTGAAGCCAATCTGGCACACTAAGACCCTATATAATGGAGGTTTCCTTGAAAACCATCTACGTTCACCATGAGTGACATGGTCATTTCAGATATGGGATGGGTACAACATGAGTGAGACTGAAAGTTCTCTTCCTTCCCACATAAAAAAAAAGTCTGTGTGTATGTATGTGTGTATATAATATAGAGAGAGATATTTGTGTATACACACATATATATGTTATGTTTCGCTGAGAAGAAGATAAGAGCTTCAAAAGCTTGGCCTTGTTAAGCTGAGATGTTTATGCAGACTCAGGACCATCAAAAGTTGCCATGTCAGCTCCTGCCTTGGCCAAAGCTGCCCTGTCTTATGTCATGCAGTGTCAAGCTGCGACGCAAGGTTTCCCCTCGCCTTTCTGTACTATATGAACTGTCTACCTGTCCTGGTTCTGTGGGCCGAGGATTTGTTACAAAACAGAAAGCATTAATTCACTGCTCCATTTGGTGTGGTGTACTTAGAAATATCTGATTATGCTGTATATCTATACTTGTATATCTACCAGCAGGCATATGATGGCTGTACAGTTAATTAGCCATAGATGAAGGCAAAACACTGTAATGCATTAATCATGAGCTGCATGTGTAATGACGCAGTTCTGCTGCCATGTTTTATAAGCAGTAACAAAATAAAAAGTTATTTTATGTAAAAGAGCTAATAATAGCTGTACATGTATACAAATTCGTCCACATCTGGACAGATATTGCCATATTTGACCTGGCTAATCTATTGTTCTATGTTAGCAACCATTTTAGGCTAACGTTTGTGTGAGATGACTGTACATGACGTTAGCTCTGTACAGGAAACGATCCCCCCAAATAACCATATTCACCGTGTAGAATTTCTAATCTTCTATATCAGATTTATCCATGGTGCTATAAAAAGCTCTTTTATCTAAAGCAACCTGACATTTTATATTTACTGACCCACTAAGGTACCCACGGAGCTGCTATGAAGGCACAAGTATGCAGTTGCTCCATATCTCCACGCTGCCATTGGCACAAAACCAGAGAAACTATGGCCTGTTGGGTAAAATACTCAATCTGGCCATTAGTCATTCCGCTTTCATGTGGTGCCAAGATCTGCCTCATTTCATTGTCGCTCATGACTCGCATCTGAAGGTACCATTATAGACATCTAACAGAATGTGATTCTCTTTGTCAGTTATATTTTGGGCTTAGGCTATTACAAGGATTTAATTAGTGTATATGAGAATACCACACAGACATGGTACTTCTATGTGTATAGATATATATTGCACAATCAGATATCATCCCTCAAGCTCTTAAACACCTATGCAGATTGCGTTGGGTCAGTTTGCATTTCCTCCGAATTGGCGAGGCAGTTTGGGGGTTGTTGAGTTTTCTATGTGTGATGAAAGCACGCCCACGCACAGAATTCCCTCTATGGCACCCTCGGTTACGTGAAAACCACAACCCACTTGGGTCGAAAAATTGCACCAAAGTAGCCCCTCTGTCACCTCCCTTTTCCTTCTTCACTGTCATGCGGAAAACCAGACACCCTCACCAGCTAAGCAAACCAAAAATTTTCTAAGAAGCACTTTTTCAAGCGCCATTATTGCATATTTTAACCCTTCTTTTGCTGCTGTCTTGCACCATTCTCTGGATCTTTAGTAATGCAATACTTTGTGGCTTTATAAAGTTCCAGGCCTTATTGTATAGCAAGTCATATTGATGGCCTAACCCATTTTTTTGGGTTGCTTTGCAAATAGTAGGGGAGAGCCCCATTTTAATGTAGACTGTAACTATGCCCAAGTCTTTCTTCTTGCACTTTGCAAAAAAGCACTTCTTACCAATTATGATTTTCCAATTTATGTTTGAATGTTTTAGTTTTAAAATAAGCTCAACTTAAAAAAAGAAAAGCACTTATTTTGTTATTTTGTATCCCATATTTATTTTAGAAATGCTACATGGCTGTAGCTGACTCTGTGGTGCATCTTGATTATGCTTATTGTGGACAGTTTTTAGAGAACTGGTCATGAAGAAGGCTGTGTTTCTCTAGTTAGCACTTACCAAAAATGTATTTTTTTATTGATGAAAAAAAATTAAAAAAATAGTTTTGCTAGAGTCTTTGATTTACTAGTATAGGAAAAGGCGCACCAAGAAAGCAAAACTTTCTTATCCCATGGCAAGCAATTGGATGATGTTTTGGGTCATATTGGACCAATATGACCAAAGTCTCATTGGAGAGTATTTTGTGCTGTGTTATCCACACCATAAATAAACCTTCATAGCTGGGATGTAACTACACTTACAGGGACCCATAACTAGAATAATGAAACAAGCACCCTCTCCCCTGAACTGCTCTAAAGCTTGGGACTGTCCCCCATCACACCTGGAGCATTTGGGAGTTGTGTGTGCTAGGAGCCAGGAGAACAGCCAAGTCCCTCATGTCTGTGGTCGGATAGATTACAGCCATTGTGATAGTTTGTTGAACCCTCTTTGTTGTTCCCTAGGGAGATTTTAGCTGCTGCCAAAATAGTTTGGCTGATAAAGCACTTAATATGTAGTATTTTTCACAATTTAACCCCCCTACCCATTTTTTTGGGGGGGGGGTTCAACATTTTCCGCAGACAGATGCCCATCCCCAACCCTTCACTCCTAAAAGCCGAATTAACAAAGCACTTAATTATACATATGCATGTATATATGTTTCCTTTTATAAAGCCCATATATGCAGACATTTTTTGTTACAAATTTGTACACTTATTATTTGGAAGCGAGGTTGGCTCTGCAAAAGGGAATTCTGTGCCATTAGCTGGGGATACCAATGTAGAATTTGATACTGTGCTGTCACAGAGACATCAACTAAGCCCAGGTGTTCTTTTCTCCCTGAAATAATTGTTTTAGAATCTAAAGCTCAGTGGAGCAAAGCAAACTTTAGGTAGTGGTCAAAACCTTAGCAAAAAATGTTAAAATGTTTTTGCAGTCAACTGCCATAAAGAAACATGCACTCATTCACCTAAATAGTGACCATTTAGGTGACTAGGAGACAGGAGGTTGTCAAAGTAGAACAATATCTCACCAGCTAGTAGGTTCCAACATGGCCTTGTGGCTCCCAGATTAATCTTACTTGCCTGATTGACATTCTGATCGTTGTCCAATGCTGGTAGGACCATAGGAATCAAACTAGGGATATCTACTTTATATATGTAGAATGAGGAAAAAAATCACGTTTAACCACCATTTGTCCAGTCACCTGGGATTAGATGATGTCTGCTGTTCCAAGATGGGAAACCCGTTGTTAGATCATTCCACTACCAGAGAGAATTCCAAGCTGAGAACTATGAAGAAAAACTCCAAATCTATCTGCTTTCGGATATAAGCTATGGGTGATTTTGGCATATTACACCTATTAAATGCTGACTTCAGCTATTTTGATACAAAAAAAAAGCAATTTCCTAATCTATATCAAGCAATTTCTAAGGATGCAGTCATAACGTTATTTTCCCTTTCAAAAGGTGTTTTTTTCTCTCTGGTTCTGGGTGGTGCTAAGTTTTCTCGCAGCGAATTTAAAACACTCTGCATCTGTCTTACCTCAGCTGTTTAGGAAAGGAAAAAATGTTTTGTTTTTTGAAATAGTGTTTTTCTTAGTTCTGGGCTGTGTTGACGGTCAGCCTTTTGCACTGCCGACTGCCAATGTGGCCCCGAACAGCTATCTCTCTTAGCTTAACGTCTGCGGACTGGACGTTAAAAAGATAAAAAAGGTCCGGTCCACTCAGTGGACATTAAAACTTCCAGGCCTTAGAGACCTGGCTAATTAACCCAGAATCCCTTTCACCTCTGCCCTCTTGTCTGTCTCAATTTTGTCTTTGCAAACCTGTGTGCTTAGCACACTCTAAATAAGAAAACAAAAATGTGTATATATTTGTATATATGTGCTGCTGTGTGTTCACCTGTAAGGTGGCTACATCTTGTTTGTTGTTTTTTTTTCATTCTTGTAACTTTGTTTAATTTACTTTTATTGCCCCTTTGCTGCCGAAAAACTCTCAAAAAGGCACTTGAGATGGATGCAGGCTTGTTCTTTTCTTTTAGAATACGGCTGGAGGGAAGGTAAAACTAGAAGAAAGATCAACAAGGAGTTGGTTGGTTCTTGCAACAGGTAGCAATACTGAGTACCTCAGTAGCCTTGTAGTTACCCTGTTGTTTATCTGCATATTGGGTTACAGGAACATATCCTAACTGAGAGATCTCGCATTAACTCTTTGCTCTCGACTTCACAAAGGAGTCTCCGTGCCTGTTATACTCACCCGCTTACTACAGGATGGTTTTCTTGATGGGTTCGCGATTGAAGTTGGGAGCCATCAGCTGAGAACACTTGTTTAGCTGTTAGGAAGGACATTTTTATGACCAGTAGGGCTATGCGAATGATATTCAGTCTTTGAATTCAGAAACCCACCAGCTTCTTATGGGGGCATATCTCCAATACTTCACTAGGGTGTTCTCCCAACAATACAGCTTGGACTGACACTTTTTTTGGGGGGGGAGGTGACACTGACCACAACCTGCAGCCTGTTTTCTTCCTGTCCAGCCCTGATCTCTGGTCACACCTCTAGTACATCAAAAAAGAGATTCATGAAGGGCACATCAGTGAAGATCTGAGGCCACCACATCTCTAGTGAAGGCAACGACTCTGAAGATTAGCCAGCTTCCTCATGACTAGCGGCACACAAAATCTCAAGGCTGAATGATGTTGAACCTTTTGCAATGTCAGGATTGTGGACCTCCCCTAATGCCAACTTCTTAACACTACATGTAACTCTCTCTGAGATATTTCTTTTTTTTTTTCCGTACATTCATTATGTTATCAGAGAAATCGATTAAACTGACAGTAAATGGAGGCGGCTTAATTTGCACGCCAGGAATGAGGAGGTGAGTTAAAAACACCATGCTCACGCTCCCACCTCGCACACATACACTTTACTCACACCGAGATTAAACCAGGAAGATGTTTATTTGTTACTTTTTTTCTCATACACTCATACCTCAACCACCGCAACCCTTCTCTGTCTCTATCCTGCCGACCTCGCTATGGTGGCTCAGGGTGAGAACTTCGTATTCAGAACTCAGTGGACTATCAATTCTCACCAGCTGAAAAAGCTAAAGCGGCGTCTCTACAGAAAATATCCACAGGAGTGGACAGATGGGACATTCACTGAACTTCAGTAATTAAAAATCAAAAAAATAGATAAAGAGCAGGGGGGATACCAAAAACCTCTCTTCATATTTCTATCTACAGCATTAAAAAAAAAAAAAAAAACGAAAAGAAAAGAAAAAAAACCCACAAGGACTGTCTCAACCACAGATGATTGATCCTACAGACCTCAACAGTGTGCCTCCTCCAGCCCCATGCAACTCAAAGAAAAACAAGGATTTGATAACAAGAACTTTTTTTTAAATAATTTTAGATGACCTTATTACCTTTCAAAGTAATTTAATGGGGTTTCTTTTTTGTTTTGATTCCTTATTAACCCCAAATTTGTGATTTGTGGGGTAAAACACTTTGGGTTAAACAGATCTTAGCCATAATTTACAAAACCGTTTTACAGGAGAGTGGGTTGTCTTTAAAACTTTTAAGTGTTTTTTTTTTTTCTTTTATCATAGGACAGGAG